GAGAGAAGCCACAGTATAGTTCTCCAGCATCCCAGGATACTTTGTTTTAGCTCCACCATCCTAGGGACACAATGTGCGACTCGCTAGACTTTACTGCTCCACTGAGTGGGGAGCAGAATACACCCCCTCACAATCCCCACATTGTGCTGGAGGGAGATGTGGGCTGATCTTGAGCAGTCTGGGTCAGTCAATTGGCTGCCCTGTGTACTGTTGCCCTCTGTCTCTGGGCAGATCAAGGGAGCCTGCAGAGCACACTGAGTTGTTGGCATCTCCTGGCTGCACAGGAGATGCACAGGAGCTATGGCTCCCCTGGCTGCACAGCATCAGCAATGCAAGCACTCTGTTCTTCAGGAGCTCAGCATTCAAACGTCTGTTCAAGCATCTCTGGGTAAGTTTTTCTACCAGAAAACAAACCTGGGAGAGTTCTCCCAGATCATTTCAATGTGTGTACATGACCTTAGCTACCAAAAGACCTGTAGCTGTAAAATTCCTTGTGAATGAAATATGTCTGTCTTTGGGTCCTAACTCTCTTACATTGAGGCCTGTGTAAATTCATCTCCCTTAATTCATCGTGAATTTGTTTATCAAGGAGATTGCCATACAGAGAGGAGTTTACTTAATGGAGCTAGCAAATCATAAGGATTAGATTAGAACAGACCCTGATGTAGGGGTGACCTAGGAGCAGCTATTATAGGAGTGACTTTAAACTAACATTTCAAGGTAGTTTCACTAGAGATTTTCAGTGCACACTGTGAAATGGTCAACATGTACCAAAACATGCTTGCAAATGATGTAGGTAAAAATCACCAATAATGTTAATGTAAAATCTGCAAAATAGAGCTTTCCTATATGCCTGAATAGCACTCTTTACCTAATGACATGTGTTCTGCTTGGCTGTTTTGTGATCAAACGAACATTGTAACAGATTGGACTGCTGCCAGTATTACCACTGCTGCAAAAATAAAATAATTAACTTTAGTCAACATGCTGGGATGCAACTGTGACAGCACATGTGGCTGGAAATTATATATGGGACTGTGCCAAAAGGTAGCCGTGAAAACATGCTGAGGGGGAAAAAGCAGGTAGTCACCAGTAGCAAAGCATTAAATGTGCAGCAGTAGTTTCATTAACTGCAGAAACAAGGTATATTGGACTGAAATATAAGCATTGTTCAGATTATGAGCTAAAGCACAGTAACAATAAAATGTTAGAGGGTAGTTCACAGGAGTAGATTGCCTAGTGTCTAGCCCAGACTGTCACAAACCCTATTTTGGAGGTTTTTGGGGTGCCATGCAGGTTTTCTTCTGCTTATTTCACTGATATGGTATGTGTGGTCTTGTTGGAAAGCCCAAGTTAGGCTATACCCATTTATGTCACTTTTATCATTATCTAGATTCTTTTTCCTGTATATATCTTTATGATTTTAGACATGGTTTAGTCAAGGGAACTGAGACTCGTACTTTAGGAAAAGTAAGTAGGTGACCTGCTAAATCTTTTGCTTTTATGATACTAGGGCAAGGACCATTGCCACTCCCAGTCAAAGACAGAAGGGTTCAGGTGGGCACCCAAGTTATTTTCTGCTTATAATGGGGAAAGTAACTGCATGATAGTAAAGGCATCTGAAAGAAATGACCCGTCAGTCAGCAGAATGCCAGGTTTTTAGGGAGAGGCATTTCTAGAGAATTATAAGATCCATGAGCCAGAGAGGTGGGGTGGAAAATTTTCCAGTGCTTTATTTTTCTGTGGGAAATTTCCCATTTCTAAAAATTCATTGCTTCATAAAAATGTATTACTAACAATGAATGGATGCCAATACAATATTAGGCCAGCATGGCAGTTTAAAAGTTGTAATGAATGCTTTTCAGGTGACTGTCCCTAGGAAGTGTGTGAGAGAGTACATATATGTTTTATTGATTTGTAAACAGGAGGGTAAATACACTCACATAATAATCCAAACCAAAAATCAAGTTACAAATTCACCTAATTGGCTGTGCAGGTCAAATCAAAACCAAAGCTAAAATTCTGATTTCATCTCAGATCTCAAGTGAATGCAAAACCAAAACTAAAACTGATTATTTTTTTTCCACCTTCAGTTCAGCAAACATACAGAGCAGTGTCTCCTTTCTTTTCTTGAGCTGGGGAAGTTGGAAGTGTTTGTATAGGATCAGTTGGTTTTTTTTAGTGCCTTTGGTTTTAAAGTAGTCATAATAATGCCTAATCAGAAAAACAAACAAACTAGTGTGTGGCATCATTATAGTGAAGTTCAGGCCACTGAAGGAAGGGAGAAAGTTGGTAGATGTAAATATTGTGGGAAGGAGTATGCTTAACAATGCAACAAGAATGAAGAAACATTTAATAACATGTAGAAACTGTCCTGAAAGAGTACAAGCTATATACAGAACGCTAATACAGCAAAGTGGTGGAACAACATCATCTGAGAAAAGTCTGCTTCTTTCCACATCAAGCTTTGAATTTGTTTGAATATAATATTTAAACCACATTAAGCGTGCTGTATTTAAGTTTTTTCCTAATCAAATATTTCAGTTCAAATACCTGTGACTATTGGGACATAAAATTAACATGGGGGTACTTTTAAAGTTTCGTTTACTAATTATCAGTCAAATAAACATGCTAAATCAGCTCATGCTCTATTTAGGGCATTGGAAAATGTTCTGGAAAACCCACATCTCTGCCATGAACAATGATGGATCAGGGGAGGGGAGAAGCTGGCTTGAGAATTATTTTAGAGTCTGTGAAATAGATCTGGTGGTTGGATTTTCTCAGGCTTTGGAGGATTCCAGATCTCTAGCAGCCAGGACTTGCCAAATCAGTACGAAAACTGATCTCTGAAAACATTGACATCACTTTCAAGAGACTAGGTGGTAGCCAGATAAGAGAAAAAGGAACTTTGCTAGTCTTTTTGTTCTGTCTTCAAACTTATGGTCCCTTTATCTTGTATGATTCTTTTATCTTATATAATAAGTCCTTCTGTTCTTTTGTCTCCTTACTGATTGTTTATGGTAAAGTAGGGGTGGGCAAAATGTGGCCCGGGGGCTGGATGCGGCCCGCCAGACCATTCTATCTGGCCCGCGGGGCCCCTAAAAAATTTAGAAAATTAATGTTAATCTGCCCTGGGCTGCCTGTCATGCAACCCTTGATGGCTTGCCAAAACTCAGTAAGCGGCTCTTTGCCCAAAATAATTGCCTGTTCCTGTGGTAAAGAATGATCTCTGGGCAAGTGATATTGCAAGCTAGCCCATTCTATGGAAAGGGGAACCTAAAATTTCTCTCACCCAAAGGGAAGCCACCTGGAGCCAGCAGAGATTCTCCTGCTGCATCTGTGAGATCTGTTGTAAGGGCAGCGGTACTGAGTCTTGTTGGGGATAAAGGGTTTTGCTATGGCAAACCTTGGTCTGTTCTGTGGGACATGCAGCAGGCCTCTGGGGGTACACTCCAGACAGGTTTGTGTCACAAGCTAGTTCTAAGTCAAAAGCAATGGAAATGTAAGGACTTTCCTTGATAATCTACCTTGAATTTTCCCTTTTATCACATTCTGTTTATATGTTCATGCATCCCTTTAAAATGTTTTTCTTCTTGTTGTGTTTACACCCTTCATGTATAAAACTGATATTGTTGTGGCCTCCTTTAGCCTTCACTTAGCTAAGATTTTGTTTTTTGGTTTTTCAGTCTTTTCATCACCTTTTTGAATATTGTTATTGCCCTTTTCAAAAATCCCTGCAATTTGTCCGTATCTTTTTAACACCATTGCATTCAGTATCAAACACAATTATTTCCTTTCTTGTAGGGTTTGTCTACCTAGTAAATTAGCATAGATTAAGGCTATGTACTCGCATTCAAATAATGTGGGAGTATTCTCCCAGGTTTGTTCTCCTGGGAGAGGAATTTACCCAGAAACGTGTACAGACATTTTAATAGTGAAGCCCTGGAGTGTGGAAAGTGTGCAGCGCTGACATTGTGCAGTTGGAGGGGAGGACCATGCACACATTTCACCATACTGTGTAGGCTTCCTTAGTCTTCTTGGTAACAGATGGCAGCAGTGCATAAGGCAGCCCTGGTTGGGATTGTGAAGAGGGCATGCTGTGCACTCTGTTGGACCAGGAGAGTCCAGAAAGAGATGCACTGTACTTATTCCCCTCCCCCTTTCATGTTAATATGTCCATGGTTTTTTTTTTCTTTTTGTGGAGGAATGGCTTTGTAAAGCATTTGGGGGTTTAGATCAATAACATGTTTATGTTAAGGTAGCTTTCAAAAGGAGGCTCTTAAGTATTTCCAGCTTTGTTTTCATAATATTTGTGTGTATATTATCCTCTTTATCTCTGGATGATTATAATTCCAGATGCCATACAGTGAAATTTAAATTATGATAAGGGTTCTAAATTCCTTTTCTGATGATGGCCTTGAAAATAATATTCACGGTCTTTCAGATGGAATATCCTACTAACCATTCTCCAGGAACCTAAATTTACTTTTATTCCACAAAAGTTGGTATTCTTCCATTCTTTTGCTTGAATACATTTATAATGATTTAATCCCCTAGTAGGTTATTGAAAATTGATTAAAAAAAAAAAAAGGAATTTCTCCTTATTCCAAACTGTGCTCCCTATGCATTTTCGTATAGATATAGATATCTGTATCTATATCTATAGCTATCTATATATCTGTCTAGATCTATCTAGATCTATAGATATATAGATAGATCTAGATGGATATATAGATCTATCTATAGATATATGAATGAATGAAAATGCATATATATATCCATCAGTCTATTTAGACATACGCAGTCTGATCCAAAGCCTGTTGAAATCAATGAATGTCTCCCTGTTAATTTTAGTAGACTTGAATGAGGCCTATAGAGCATGAAATGTGACAATAAAACTTCTATTTTGATATCTGTGAGAGTGCCTCTGATCTAAAACAGGTTTGCCTATAGTGTTAGTATAGCCTTTTATTTAATAAAGTTCTTTCTGCTTCTTATAGGTCCTTTTGTTCTGCATCACGGCTGCTCTGTTCATGTTCTTTTTCAGGTATGTCATTAGTATTTCCATTTCTATTAAAAAATTATGTGAAGCAGCCAGTTGCCCACTTGTTTGATTTTGAGATTGAGATAAGAACACCTTCTGTTTTTTAATGAAGCAGACCTTCTTCATGGTACAGTGTCATGAAGTTCAAAGTTATTACTAGTAGTTCAAAAATCAGTGTTACATCTGAACATGAAGTCTCCAAAGAATATAGACGTGTGCTGTATAATGGCGAGGGAGAGGGAGGGTTATAATTTGTGTGTGTGTAAAGTGATGCATAATATTTTTAGAGCATATTGAATCTAATAAAAATGACATTAAGGCAGCAGTTACAGGAATGTAGAAATATTTACTTTCTATCTAAGTTGTTTGAATAATTCCTTATGTATTTTGGGAAGTATTCTGCATAAGCAAATATAGGGGAATAATGCCTAAAATTTCCAATTGTCTCTCGCTTATTTCAGCCTTAAAAATAAGAATAAAAGCAGTTAGCAATAATTTCTTTTTTTTTAATGAGCATTATGAAATGTATTTTGACCTGCAAATATACATAATATTCATAATTAGAGGGTAACCACTTTGTTTTAACATTCTTTGTCATTATGTATCAGTTTGTTTCTGTTTGATTAGAAACCCATTTAAACTTCTCTATCTCTCAGTCTGTAAGAAATATATAATAAAAATGTGTAACCCTTCAGTACTTACGTTTTAAATAACTGTTCCCTGAAATTATTCCATTATTTATTTAGTTGAGTAGTTGTCTGCTAAAATAACCTCTAACTACAACCCTTGGAATTAAAATATTCTGTGGTAGATTTCTGTGGCATGTAGCCATCTGCAATTCTGTGGCCACAGAATCCCCTGATAATTGCAAAACTCCAGGAGCTCTGGGTTGTTTTCTTTCAATAGCCCTGAAATCACTTACAAATACTGGCCAAGAAGATATTGTGCAGGGGAAAAACTATTATTTTTAAAGTTTCTAAAATGCCTTCCTTCCCTCATCCACTGCCCATTAAGACTCAAATTGTCAGTCTTCTTCTTGTTTTGTTTTGTGCTGCTGCCCTGAGTTGTGTCAGGACAGCCTACGATTAGCCTGAGGGATTTTACTTCTAATGTTGATGCTAGACACCTGCCAAGGGGACTGTGGCTAAGAAAACATAAGGGCTGGGTAATGTTGTGAACGCTCTAAATGTTAATTGTTTCCCTGTTTAATAGGGAGCTAATTGTTTGCCTGTTTATATCTGTGATTGTGAAGCAACGATTCACAGTTGAAATGGAAAATTAAAATAAAGCAAAGTTAAGCCTTGGAGTCCATGCTGATTTCCTCAGTAACTGGACTGCAAGACCTTTCTCTCTAGGAAATACTCCAACAGCCCTTGCTTCACCAAGGGCCTCATTAAATGTGTTCTTCCTCTGTATCTGTACTGGCAGTTTTATGGACAGTTAACCAAACCACCTTTTGCCTTTTACCTGTCTCTGAAACATTGAACATGGCCTGTGATATACTCATGCTTCTAATGGTTTCTGACTTGTGGTTCTTGTTTATGGCTAAGGACAGACATTACACATAAATCAGTTTAAGTGATCAGAAACTGATTTAAACCTGTAATGGAACATAAGTTCAGTGCACATAAATCAGTTTCAAAATGGCTGAAACTGGTTTAAGATAAACGTGGTTGAATGTAGTATCAGATTTAACTGATTTGGGTCAAACTGACTTACGCAATGTCTGTCCCAGAACAGGGTTGGGCCTGCTCCTCTGCTAACTGGCCTGAGCTCTGGCAGAGACTGCAGGCACAGCAGTGTTTGCCTGGCTTCCCCCTGCCCCCCTCTCCTTTCCCCTGCTACTCGCTGCTCAAGCAGGGATCCCTCCCTTCTTCCCTCCCATCTCCCACAACACAGACCCTAGCCCCATGGACCCTAGGCATGTAGTATGCTAGCTAATGCTGAGAGGTGTGTGTGTGTGTGTGTGTTTCCAATTTCACTGGGACAGGAGAAAGGAAGACAGAACAGTGTCTGCTTAGGGCTTTTTGGAGACAATCACCAGCTCAATTGGTAATGTCCATCCATTCCTTCCTTGGAAAAAGCTATTTAAGAGGAGTTTGAACCAATGAGAGAGGCTTTTGTTTTCTTGATGGGCTGCTGAACGTTGTATTATCAGCTGCCTGCTGGCTACCTTGCCTGTCAGGTTTGCAGTAGTAATGAAGAAGCAGGGGAGGGAGATTGAAAAATTTAGTATCGTCAACAGATGCATGCATTGGACACCCCTCCCCCCCCCCCCCCCCTTGTCGCGAAC